CCTTGTTTTAATTTGTTTGGAAGCCGTTTGCAGATAGGCCACATGATCCCTTTCATTCCGCAATTTCTAGATAACAAGGCTTAACTAAACATCTTTTAGTCTCATGAATTGTATCAAAAATGTAATTTGCTAGGTGTATGTTAAAAAAGGTAAAGGTTTCCGTAGGATAGGTATTTATATATATTTTTATGTCTGTTCTGTTATGACTGCGGTCCATCAGATAGCTCAAATATTTCTTGAATAGGTACTCTCGAAATACTCTCCTTCCCCTCGCAGCCTATTCATTAGTTGTGTCAAATATGAGCTCATCCCTAGCTGACTAGAAAAAAATTCAAACTTAAATGGGGGTTGCCTTCTTTGATGTTGCTCAAATTATTTGTGTAAATGTAGTTTATCATAACTCTTTCCGTTCGGCGAAATATGTAGAAAACAGCCATGTGAACTGCGAGATGTCCGTTCGAAAGTTATTTATGCGATTTTCTTCATGCTCGTTTACACTGCTTGTAATTTTTCGTAAAACCAGCTTATCTCTGTTTAACCAAAGTAATACACTCGATTGAATACCGACAGGTATGTTTTCAATTATTTTTGGGGTGGGCGGTGGATGCGTGAAATTTACCCGGGTCGTTATCTTCTGGGCAAAAAGCAACCTGTTATTAATACGTAAATGCTGAATTATTTCGTTAAGTTTATCGACTCTCGGGTGTACCTATAAACAGCATTTTCGAAAATGCCAACTTCCGCATTAAAAAACTCGGTTTCTTTGAATATTTTAAAGCCATGCCTTTCTTGCATATATAATACTAGGTAAGTAGCATACTTTATGGAATTATGAGCTTTTTGATATGTGACGCTAATCTGATCTCAAAAGAATAATTTCATATTACAGATTCCAACGTCTCCAGTTCCGGAAAAACATGTATGAATTGCGCGAAAATCGTAATGTTAAGCCTAAAACGCTTATGTGCATGCTATCGAATCTTCTTTATGAGAGAAGGTAAGATCCCCTTACAAGTTTAGTTCCTTAGGTTCGGTCCCTATTTTGTAGAGCCTATTGTAGTTGGGCTGGACCCAATTACAGAGGAGCCTTTTGTTGGTGGCATGGATCTTATTGGTAGTGCGAATGAAACTAAAGAATTTGTTGTTGGTGGATCATGTACAGAGCAGTTGTACGGCATGTGCGAAACTATGTGGGAGAAAGATCTTGTAAGTATCCGTTTCCTATTTTCTCCCTGATTTTTTTATTTGCCATTTACATGTTTATTTGTGTTGAGGAACTTTGTTGTTGCTTTTAGTGTAACAGATAATCTTTGTCATCCTTATTTGTTATATATACGTATGCGGGCAGAATGCAGGACATAATAAACTCTGGTTTTATTGGCTGATACAGTTCGAACCTAAGAACATCTGTCGTCCACTAAGAGCCTCAAGCTCATTTTAGACTGTTTATATACGGAAGTCATTAAAGTGCTTAAGATGGTGGATTGCAGAGCGGTTCGGAGATCCGTTGTCGGTTCTACTGCGAGTGTGTGTATAAAGGTAAAGTGAACTATGATGGATCTACTTTTCTTAAAGGTAGAGGTTAGCGTGAAGTCTAAGAACTAAAATGAACTAGCCTATTTTACTTCGTCTGCTGTCTGCTCCCTAAACAGACAGCTTGCGCCGTGCAGGCCTATAATGGATGTGGCTAAGGCGGTGGGCGCCAGGAGAGCAAAAGTCTGCATCTGTGTCTGATGTTCGTGGCAGCAAACTTCTGCTTTATTCATATCTTGATCCAAAACAGACAGTCATCGCGTCTTTGCTTTTTAACAGTTTGATATTTATTCATCCAATGGGCTACTTTTGGTCGCCATCTAGGCTCCACGTAGACACGATTAACGACAACACTGCAAAACACCCCAAACTATATGCTAAAACTGTCGTGTAATATGCCACCCGAGAAATAGTAGTTTCTGATATTGTTAATTGTGAAAAATGTTCTTGGTTTCCTATACATAAAAGTATGCTACTAATTCCATGCACATATAGCGAGATAAGCGTCTTACGGGAAGCGATCTTCTGAAATTACCGCCAAAAATATACATATTTGCGGTTTTTAATTTTTCTACGACACGTTCATTGTAGGCTTTCTACAAACCTTTAATCTATCTACTCTCGTAAGAGAAGTACTGGGAGTGGTTTTATTTTGACCTTGATTTCGAAAGTAGTTGCTTTCTTATTCTTCAAAATAACTGCAAACGTTAATGCATTTCATATTTCAGAAACCCGATGAACTATTTGAATGTATCTCACAGTGTATGTTGAACGCTTTAAATCGGGATTGCATCGCTGGATGGGGCACCCGAGTCTATCTTGTGTAAGCTTCGTTCTGTTTTTTGATTTTTTTTTTCTAGGGAAAAAGATAAAGTCACCATAACCGACATCAAAAGCCGCATGGACTAAAGTTTTCAAAATAAATTTCTAAAAACAAACCTTGATTTTTCAAACGTTTATATGGGACAGGTTCCATGAATGCATCTTTCCACAAATACGTATTTGAAATCTCGCCCTGAATTTGGAGCATGATGGTTATCAATTTTACTCCGTAACACAAAATTCGACTTACAAGGGCAGGCTAAACTCGTTTGATGCTATAATCTACGTTTCCGGCTTTGTACCATACTCAGAAAAATATACATATCGATGTCCAGTAAACAGCAATAATGAGAACAACTTGAATGCCTTTGTCGTGTATTACACCTCTCAGTCATATGCGTTATTTGGCCTGAGCATCGCTCCGATTGGCAACAACACCAAATGACCAATTTATAATCTGGATTGTCACGGTGAACATGGACCTCGATTATGCCTAGAGGCGTATTTGGCAGATTTCTTTGCAGGGAATTAAGTGTTGGATTCAACTCATTCTTCTTTGTCATGCACTGTAGACCTTTCAATGACCAACTGGTGGTGAGATGGTTACAGTGGTGAAGTTTGCAGGCTGCTTTTTAAACTGGATGGTATGCATGTTTTCCAGCAACGTTGCAAGGATGTCCCGGTCTCTCTGAGGGTAGATAGAATAGTTTGCTTGCGCTCCCTGCCGTCACTCTTCTAGCTCTCGGCGCTGCTGTCTTTAGTTTTTGACCACTAGTCTGTATATAATCATCCAACTGTTAATGCTGTTCGTCAATATCCTCGGTTAACTGCAAATCTTCTGATAGAGATTATTAAGCGGAGAAAATGTGTAGCTTAAGCTAATTAGATGCGCTACCGCAGATATTCCCGCGTGTATAGGTACTGCTCGGCGTACCATTGATGCGGACCGTAGCAGTCACAATTACAAATTTATCTAGCGCTGTTTTCCCTGAAATGCCGTCCACGCCCACAACTGAATATGTCTTCCGCGTCCGGTCTGGTATGTATGGCGCGCATAGAAAAACACAGTAGGTTTTCGAAGGTAACATTAAGACGAGATTGCATACATTCGGCTAAAACTATGTTGTTGGGGGTGGAGAAGTTGTGACTGGGAAGTTTCATGCGGCCATGTTTTGTTGCTTTATCGACGTTAGCCTAAGGGCAAGGACTATTATCACCCTCGTTCCAAGTTTTCATTTAGATTGGAGGAAGTGCCCTTACTTATGCCTCAGTGTGCACTTTTTTATTTTTGCCCTGGTGTAGGGGGGTCAGCCTCCGCAACGACTGCTCCTTCCTTGGGGTAATCGATGACTCTTAGTGTGCCAAGAATGCTGTACGAGTTGCTACTAAAGAAGAGAGATTAAAGCTGTGAAGTTGAACAGTACCCTCCGCTACTGTTGTTGGTGGTCCCCCCAGCCACGATTTGATCATCGAAGGGTACCTCTTATTCATGACCCCATTCCTTGTGAAGTCCAGACGAACCGTCAAAATCGCACAATCGCTAAAGTCGTTTAGCAAGTGCCGAACACCACTTAGAGGTCTTCTTAATCGTGAGCTTTTTCTCCTTTAGTCAGCCTTTGTCGCATGGGCCTTTGGCAGTGTTTTTAATTATAATTTAGCCTTGTTTGAAATCATAATGAAAACTAGGCCGTTTTGAGCAAAGATGTCCATCGCGTGAATCACTTGGTAGTAGGATGTACTTCCGCAGCATCT